GGGGGGGGTGTGGAGCCAATTCCGGCTGACACTGGGTGAGAGGCGGGGTACACCGTGGACAGGTCAACAGTCTATAACAGGGCTGACATGTAGACAAACAACCACACACACACACACACACACCTACGGGCAATTTAGAATCACCAGTCAACCTAAGCTGCATGTCTTTGGACTGTGGGAGGAAAAGAGAGAACCCACACAGGCACAGGGAGGACATGAGGGGTTATGTGTAAGCCTATACCAAACAGGAATAGACAATGAAACAGCATTTTTGTTTCTTTTTGCATTTGAGGATTTCCTTTAACATTCAAAGTTTAGTGTGCTGGAGTGGTATCAGACTTTTAATTTATGCTTGAGTGCTTTGAATTAAATGCACTCAGGCATGAAAGTCACTTGGAACTACGTTCATAGCTACACAGGCTATGAGGTTTGCAGCTGGGTCTTTGCTGGCAGGAGCAAAATGCAATAGGAAAAATGTTATGCTCATTAGAATGCCTTATTCCCATTTTTGCACAGGTGTTACTGCGTCATTTTACACATTTTCATTCATTTATCTACTCCCTCTAAACCCAATATCCAGCAATATTAATGCTACTTTGAAGTCAGTTGTCCAGCTGCCCGTGTGCCAACTGCTAGTCTGTAACAAGCAGACACGCTGAGATGTACTCACACCAGCTGGTAATTTACACCACTGCTCCCTCGCCTCATGTCACGAGTGTAAATGTGAAAGGTCTGCAGCTTTCAGTCTGCAGTACAAGAGTATTACACCAGTGTTTTTGACACATAAGGCTCTTATGATCACAAGTGCCCTGAACTATAAGCTTCTTTTAAGCTTGCATTCACACAGGATTTGTGACATGTACAACACATGCAATACACCACTGAGAATGCTAATTTGATAAGTCTGCAAAACATGTATTATCCTCAAAGACAAAGTGATTTACAATATGATAGAATGCTCTAGTTTATCTTACTGTTTTTTCTTATAATAGCCAGGCATGGCAGCTGGTCAAGCTCTAGTTGAGGCATTTGAAACACTAAATAAGAGTAAGATAAACTGAACAAACCTCTGCTGTCAAAGTGTTATGCTTACGTCTTCTTGCAGAGCTGAACATCAGACTACTTTCTGTATTCACTGGCAATAGATACAAATTGTGTATTGCAAGTTTGTCAAATATAAACATCATTTCTTACTGTAAGTTACTAAGCTGAACCACAAACATACGGTTGAAGTCAGAAGTTTACATACACCGTAGATAAATACATTTAAACTCAGTTTTTCCACAGCTCCTGACATTTAATCCGATAAACATTCCCTGAATCAGGGCAGTTAGAATCACTACTTTATTTTATGAATATGAAATATCAGAATAACAGTAGAGAAAAAAAATTTATTTAAGCTTTTATTTCTTTCATCCCATTCCCAGTGGGTCGGGAGTTTACATACAGTACAGTCAGTTAGCAGTTGGTAGTGTTGCCTTAAATTCCTTAACTTGGGTTAAAGGTTTCAAGAATGCCTTCCACAAGCTTTCTACAACAAATTTTTGCCCATTCCTCCTGACAGGATGGGTGTTTGTAGGCCTCCTTGCTTGCACATGCCTTTTCAGCTCTGCCCGCAAATGTTCTGTTGGACTGAGGTCAGGGCTTTGTGATGGTCTCTCCAGTACCTTGACTTTGTTGTCCTAAAGCCATTTTGACACAACTATGGAAGTCTGCTTGGTGTCATTGTTCATATGGAAGAGCCATTTGTGGCCAAGCTTGAAATTCCTGGCTGATGTCCTGAGATGCTGCTTCAATATATCAAAATCAGAATCAGAATCAGTTTTATTGGCCAGGTGTGTTGGACACACGAGGAATTTGACTCTGGTACATTGGCTCTCAATGTGTATGTACATATCCCCATGCAAGGGGCAAGTAAACACTAAACTAGCATAAGGCTGTGTAATATAAATGTAACAAAATAGGCAGTATGTGCCTTCTTGGTGATGGTCCTGATGTTGGACGTCCACTTCAAGATACCAATTCACTTTATCTTTCCTCACTCCACTTGAACAAATGGTTCAGTTTTTGTTTCATCAGACTAGAGGACATTCCCCCAAAAAGTAAGATATTTGTCCTCGTGTGCAGCTGCAAACCATAGTCCGCCTTTTTAATGGCGGCCTTGGAGCAGCATCGTCTTCCTCGCTGAGCAGCCTTCCAGGTTATGTCGACATGGGACTCGTGTTACTGTGGATATAGATACTTTGGTACCTGTGTCTTCACAAGATCCTTCGTTGCTGTTCTGGGATTGATTTATAGTGTTCGTACCAAAGTACGTTCATCTCTAGGAGACAGAACACGTCTCCTTCCTGAGTGGCATGATGGCTGCATTGTGCCATGGTGTTTATATTTGTTTAGTATTGTTTATACAGATGTATGTGGTACCTTCAGGCATTTGGAAGTTACTCCCAAGGATGAACCAGACTTGTGGAGGTCCACAGTTTGTTTTTCTGGGGTCTTGGCTGATTTCTTATGATTATCCCATGATGTCAATCAAAGAGTGTGAAGGTTGGCCTTAAAGTACATCCACAGCTACACCTCCTGACTCAGATGATGTCAGTTAGCCAATCAGAAGCTTCAAAGGCCATGACGTCATTTCCTGGACTTCTCCAATTTATTTATAGGCACAGTCAGCTGAGTGTATGTAAACTTCTGACCTACTGGAACTTTGTATTATAAGTGAAATAATCTGTAAACAACTGTTGGAAAAATTACTTGTCATGCATAAAGTACACGTCCTAACAGACTTGACAAAACAAGAGTTTGTTAATATGATGTCTGTGAGTGGTTAAAAAAAAGGTTTTAATGACTTCAGCCTTAGTGTATGTAAACTTCTGACTGTAACAACTGTAAAATCAATGCTTGGTACCTTCAAATTGATCAACAGTAAGGCAACCTTTAAAAGCTTATTACCCTTGATTTAAGCATCATCTTTCAGGTTGGTACTGGCCCAATCAGTCTTCAGATAAACTGGCCTGAGCAGCACTTAATAGACCTAATTTGTAATGCTATTTTGCACTGTGCTGCGCTCCTGGTCACATTGAGCAGCATTTACCTCTAGAGTGATTTTGGCCTATGCCTGGGTGGGCGGCAGTCTGCTGCCTGCCCCTGTGTCACCACTGAGGAGCTTAAGACTGTCGCATCAATACAGACATTAGAATGAAAAAAGGATTAGCACAAGCTAGAGTGGGTCTCAATGGACAGAGCAGTGAAAATCTATCAAAGCTAAGAAGGCATTAGATCTAAAGTCGATGGAATCACTGCCATGTCCTCTGGCGTGAATGTGGCCACAGAGACCGGGAGTCACTGACGGGTCAACTGCAGAATCATCTGGCTTTATTGCATGACAAATTAAAAGGACTTAAACTGCATGTCTTTCAAGGAGAAGAGGGTAAGTATCTATTCAACAAGACAATTTCTCTGATTTGTGTTTTGATTTTATGCCAAACTGATTTGGCTTATTTTCTACATAACAGCTCAAAATTGAGCTGCTTTGACACCAGCCAATCACAGTCTTAGCACCCACCCACACAAACAACTGAAAGGGAGCAGATGCCAGAAAAAATAAACATCATTTATACAGTATAGGATAATAAGGACATGGCTTTTTCTCTCTTGTGTGCACATGCCATTTTGCACAAACCTCGCGGTGTAAACATCACACCCCTCAATCAGTGTTTGTTGACATGAAGAGGCAAAGGAGAGGAGAAAAGATGGAGCCAATTCTTCATGGCACCTCGGAAGTAGGGCAAAGATAGTCCCCGCAGAGGCGGGGGTGGGGGCTGCCGCACGGTTGAGTTGTCTGATTGGCTATGTAGGAGGTGAAGTTATTTTTGATAGATCTGGGGATCCTGCAGTGAAAAGGCTAAAGACTCAAAAGGTTCAAAATGTGATGACAGAAATGTTCAAGTATCATCACAAAGCTGCTAATATCTGATATTTCACACCAAAACAGTCTACATTAAATGGTGGTTGTCGAGTGTAGCTGGCTTAAATCAAAACTCTCTTTTCATCCTGCTAATGATATAGCATGTTCCCTACTGTGCTTCAACATCTTAAGCTTCTGGATAAATGAGACAAAGGATGACACAACGGAATACAAAAAAGGAGGAATCTGAGTTCTCCATATTTTACTGACTTGAAGCCTCATCAAGTCAAAGCCATTTGCTTCTGTACACCAGTTCTTGCCACTATTTGAAATAAAATACCCTTGTGAAAGGCAGTTAGCACTGAAAAATAGAAGTACAATCAGCAGAATCAATAGTTGCATATATTTATTTTAAGTTATTTTCATTATGATACCAGACTTTGACATAACTCACCAGATGCACAGTCCTCCTCATCTGCCCCATTCTCACAGTCCTTCTCCCCATCACATCTCCATGACAACGAGACACACTTATTGGTGGATCCCCCACAGTCAAATTTCTCCGGAGGGCACGTCTGTTTGCCTGTTGGCAGAAATAAAATCAATAGGAAGATTACTATAGTGGTTTTATTATTCCCATAAAGGCAGCAACAAAAACAACTATGACACACTGCTGGGCTCAATTTCTTTCATCCCCATGATGGAGTTAAGACTCATTCAAAACACCACAACTCTGGCCAATTGATTTTAATGTCTGGGCAGCCTCTAAAGACACATACAGACAGATCATGAAATACAGCAAAACCACAGCTGGCTGCAAAGCAAAAGAACAACATAGCCCCCCTCTTCCTTTTGCTGCCAATCTGCTCTAGTTGGCACAGGGTGGGTTTGATCCAGATTACAGCACATTTAATATGATGCATGTTGTTAATTATACATCTCTGCCTACAGGATGAAATCAAAGGGCTAGCCTACATGGCAAATCATTTAACTTTTCAATGATTTAATTTTCCCACATTTAAGAAAAATAATTCCCAACTTTTTTTTAATCACATACACCAACATAGTCCTGTCAAAGGAACTCAAGCACGCCTTCATCAACAACCACCACCAAGGTGGAGGTACTGTTTTTCCACAAAATAACCCAATAGACTTTGGTGCTGATCACCGTCCAGATCCAGGAATTTTTTGAAAGGATTCTTCACCATTGTGAGGTAGGGCCAATTCATGGTTTCAGTCACATGACTGGCACAGAGCCAGTCAAACAATGTCATAAGAGGATCATTTGTAGCATGATGACAGGGGACAAGCTCCATAATGAAAACAGTTTATGGGTTTATAAGAGAATCTGAGATGCTGTCACTAGCAATGTTGTACATAAATGACACTGTGGGTAATTGGACCTGACAACCATAAGGTCGCCAGCATTTTAAGTCTGTTCATATGAAAATACCTCAATTAAAGCACTGCATTTAGGCTTAAACTGAATTCCTTTTTATCTAACATAATTCCAATATCCCCCTCAGTGGTGTTTCAGTCCTTTAAAGGCCAAAATACTATAAATATCTCCGCCAGTCAGAACTGATGAAGCCTCTTGGATGAGAGGTGAAACGTCTTCGACCTAGAAATCTAGTCCAGTTGATTTTTTCTAAGTTTTTTCAGCATACTATGACCTGGATGACTGAGAATCTGCACAGACATAATTCCAATATGACATAGTTTTTCCATTAGCTCCACCAAGGGTGGGGGTTATGTTTTTGCCAGCATTTGTTTGATTGTTAACAGCATAACTAAAAGTAAAGAACGGAATTTAATGATTTTTTTTTTTTTTTGAGAGGTAGAGTAAGGCCCCTGGAACAGTTTGTTAGATTTCGGTGCTGATCTGTAACATAATTTGGATAAAGCAACATTTTAAAAGATTATTCACCATTGTGAACGCTACAAAGGCTGCTGCCTGCATGTGAGCTCCCGGGTGGCCAAAGTACACAGCTATTACAAAAGACACTTTCTATGGTGTCTTCCAAACTGATACTATCTATAAATTACTTCATACATAGAAGATGTTCAAAGATGAGCGACCACAATGTGTGACAGGGTGACCAAGAGCCCGAGGATAACAGTGGTTACTCATTATCCAACAACATTTGCTGTACACATTTGTGATAAAATAATACTAACCAGTCTGTAAGTCTGGATGATAGGTAACCTAACCGTTAAATGCTACATGAAGATATGTTTTTTCAGCCCTTTAACATTGCATGGATGATGGACAGTAGAGAGGTAGCTAGTGCTTGGAGAGACCAAGCAGTGAGAATGATGGATGCAGCCAGACCCTGACCCTGCAGAAATAAATAAATAAACAAACAAATACTGGCACTGCAGTGCTTGGGGGTTGTTTGTACAGCAGGGACCTTAGGCTCAGCGAGCACTGTGTTATTGTATTCTACTAGATGAGTAGTGGCATTTACCTGCAGTGATTTTACAGTCCACAAATTGTAGTTGTCAACAAATTTCAATTGAAAGTTGTATTGCACTAAAATATTGCATTGATCAATGTCCTGTTGTTACACTTATCATCTTCCTCATGGCTTACATCCTGTACACGAATGGGATTAAAAGTTATATTCCATTTCTTCTGTTTCAGTTTCATATTGTAGATCATTTAGAAAGTGCACTGCCCAAGAAAAAAAAAGTGTTTAGATGTTTGACAGTCTTTAGTGTTACCTGTATCAACACTAATGTCATTATGCATGCAATAGGAACAATGGTTGAGAGTGTCAAGGGATCAATCAGGCTTAGTAAAGACAGAAAGAACCAAACGCAGGAAGGGATGATGAGCTAAAATGTGTAGAATGACAGAGTGATCAGGGAAGAAATACAAGAACCGTTTCTTAGAAATGTCTGAGATGAAAGACACCAAAAGGTGCAGTCTACGAGACAGGAAGTAACCTGAATGAATTCCAAGATGGGTCCAAAGAGAACCACGCAAAGAACAAGAAGCAGACAGAGAAAAGAAGGAACAGAGAGAGAGGAGGGCAGAAGAAAAAGAAATACAGAAGAGAGCATTGGAGAAAAAAAAAATCAATCCATAAGAAGAGAGGAGGCATGCCAAACACAAGATAATGTATAAAAGGGGAACAGATGATGAGACTAACCGCTGCTTGACCTTTCAAAGTCATATCCTTAAGCAAAATCCAATCCATCCATACCAAGTGGAAAAAGATGGAGGAAAGGCAGGTACGGCACAGACAATGTGAATCCACTGAGCACAGGGTGAGCTGTCCTGTCTTTTTAACTGATGACTCTTTAATGAAGCATGAGCCCTGTTCCTCCAAACTCAAACAGAAAATCAAATTTCACTGTGACAGTGAGTAGTGGTACCTTGCTGTCACTGTCACGGCTACTGATACGTGTAGACATAGGTAATGGGTTTTTGCTTGAGAAGGAAGCAACTTAATAAAAGCCAATTACAAACAAACTGACTGCCCGGCTCTTGTTTACCATCTGAGTGAAAAATGAGGACTCATCGCCAACAGGGCATTTTGGCAGGAGATCGGTTTAGAATTCATCACCTTTTACAAGACTCATGGCAGCGTTCGCCTCAGTGGTGAGATGGTGTAGTAGCTTTACTTTTCATTTTCCCCAAAACCTGGCTTTCAGTGAAGAACGCTCCTCAATTTGTCACTTGTCGCCCGGAATACGATATAATAATGTGATGAAGAGGGTTAATAGGCACAGACAAGTGTGAAACTGATCTGAAATAATTAACTAGAGCTTCGTAACAAATCGAATACTACACTGATAAACATGGAAGTGATCATTTGCAGCTCATTAATATGCAATAATATGTATTTTCCTGTTTCCACTTGCTAATAGATATTTTTCAGTGGTGACGAACCAGCAGGAAATTCAAGACGACAGATACATATACTGTAAATCTGTCCACTCAGCATAGTGTGACAGCCTAGTCACATGTTATTGTTAAACACTTATCCAAAGGACACGTAGCCTGATGTTTAAAAGCCTATTTCTGAGTAATCCTAGAACGCTTTGATGCCTGTGCAGCTATAGTATGTGCGCATGTGGAGTTTGCGTATGTTTTGCCATGCATGTGTGTGGCAGTGTCGGGGCTCTGATGGCGAATTCATTCAGCAGCTGAATGAAGCCAGATTAATGTACTGGCAATTTTAAATATTTTCATAAATTTTGGTCTTGAAAGCCCAGCAAACACTAGCCAGAGGGTACAGTCTGCCAAAGGGCTAACACATACAGACAGCCATTCACAGTAAACGACGAGGGAATGTTTAGAACAACCAAGGTAGTGGATTCCGTCTCAGGACACTTTCTTGCTATTAGGTGACAGTGCTAATCAGTGAGCCTTCATACCTCCCTTCTTCTTAATTCAGTTTTTATGAGGTTATTATTTAAACCCTACTATCTATGATCAACAATTAAATAACTGATTTTTCAGTTAAGAGAAAACATATCAGCAATTATTTTGAAACATTAACTGGTTAGGTGATTTCAGATGTTGTCTTATGTGATTAAATAATTTTCTGTTATTGACACAAACTTTAAAGATGTCATCACAGTTTTTAGGAAGTTCTGACATTTTTTGTATTTTCATACAATGTTTCACTGAGGAAATAATTGACATATAATGGAAGTAATCACTGAATGCAGCTATAATACCAGCTAATAGTTACTGTTATTGTTGTGTAACTCTAATATAAGATATCCCACCTCACTACAAACCAAACAAATGTGTTGGATCACTGCAAAACACATCTCTGTCCCAGAAACAAATTTAAGTAAAAAGCTGGTCTCTAATGATGAAAGTCAATAGAAGCACAGTATGACTTGATTATTGTTTTCATCGAACACTAACAAAACTGCTCAGGCACGGCTGAAATCTGTCAACAACCTGTTTGTTTCGAAGAAACAAGTACAATACTGCTCCGTTTCTGAAGCAGAGCCACCGACTGGAAGTGCCACCTTCCAAAAAAGCAGGTTCTGAAGGTAAACCTCCTCCCCACAATTGGCACCCCAACAATTTATCAGGTGACAAAATGCCAAAGCAGAGACAGACCAAAAAAAAAACAAAAAAAAAAACAACACACACAGAGTGGGAAGATTACTCATAAGACTCACCAAGAAAATCTGCTTTACATCAGTTTTCAGTTTCTGTGCCAGTATTTGGAGTGTCAATATAACGAGTCAGCAGTAAATTAACCTACAGTCAGGTCCTCTCATAGCACCTAGTGTACTGTGACAATGCGAGGTATCCCACATGGGTGATGCAAACGTTGAAACAAAAACAACTCTCCCCATTCTTTAGTCAATAAAAATGCTAGTCTTTATTATTAACTCCCCAGAAAAAAGCTCAAAGGGGTTTGAAGCTCAGTATCTCCAAAGAGGTTTCTAAGAGGTTTTCATCACAACCGCTTTCAAAGAAATAACTATAATTCAGGACCAGAAAACCACAATTTAGAAGATCTTAAAAAAGAAAGAATCCAGGTGTTTGAATAATCCAAATCTATACCAGTTCAGGGTTATGCCCTCACATAATGAAAGGCTCCTCAAGGAAACACTGAAGTTTCTTCACACCTGTCAACTCCTAGAACACAAACTGAGATGCAGAGCTGAGCAGAGCTGAACTCAGCAGTTTTGCCAGAGTGTGTCAAGTAGCTAATATTCACCCTCCCCTTTTTAAATCCTTAAAGGTGACGTGGGCAACTAAAGGTGCATAAAAATGCCACTGCTTCAGCTGGAAAGCAAAGGAGCTGCTGCCCAGCTGGCTGCAGTGGCCCAGTTCTTCCTTGATTACAGTTTAATCTGACACAAAACCTATGAGCTCTGGCTCTTCACATTTCTCCAGAGTGAAGAGCCAGTGTGGCCCCAATTTGAATTCATAATACGGCAGTGTGACGCTACTGCAGCGTGTAATTGGGAATCCACTCAGTGGGCCAGAATGATAGCAATGGCACTGTCTGCAGCAAAATGACTTAGCGCAGTGATTGTGCACGTGAAAATGTGACTGTTTGTGTGCGCACAAGTGAAATTGACGTAGAAACAAAGTTCAAGAGAGTCAGGAGGCAACGTAAAACTGAGCAACAGCATGAGGGGTTTCTGCATGCGAGAGGCCAGAGCACAGCTTATAAGGCTTTAGAACGACTGGAGCATGGCACTTTAACGTGTCTGCTGTGTTACATTAGCTTGTGCAAAACAGTCGTGCAGTCACCGGCTCCTTCACTGTGAAAGGAGCAAAACAAGCCCCAGCTTAGCAAAGTTTAGCTCATACCTGTGAAGCTTGGTAGTGTTTGATTCCAAAGTGAAGTGTTGCATGGGGGCGGGATGTTAATGTTGGTGGATATGCTAAATGTTCATGTTAGAGCTTGTTTTTTTTTTTGTTTTTTTTTGCATCTTCAAACTAAGCAGAAAAATATGGCACATCAGAAGTTTTTCACTGACAGATGTATGATGCTCTTTACAGCTTTGCACTCTCACCGACCAGTGAAACAAGGCTACTGAGACAGATAAGAGAACCATTCAGGAGTACAGTAGGTTGGCTGCTATTGCTTACTGTATATTTGTAAACTCTCTTCTCTTCCTCTGTGTGATTACGGCACAGTCAGATCCACTCACAGAAAAACAGCTGTGATGAAGTGGATCTCATTAGCAAGCCCTCTGTTTAGAACACGACCTTGACCTGACATTTCTCATTTGAACGCATAATCAGGAGGGATACATGCTGCAGTGCAGCGACTGAATGTATTACAGCTGGACTTTCAGGAGGAAAGAATTTACCCTACAGCACAACTAAACAACGGATCAACACCTGAGAAGATAAAGATTCAAACAAAGCCACCAGATTTCTGACCGACTGTATTAAAGCAAACTGATCTTTGATAGCAGAGCACTTAAAGTGCTGATGTTCTGGAAAATTTTGCATTACAGCATCATGAATATATAATGGATTTTCCATATAAATGGCTTACTTCTCAGTCCAGATCTCTATCTCCTTAGTCTGCACGCAAGTGGCGACTCCTTCCTTCATTTATGTAACTGGATTTCCAATACAAACTTGCTATCCTTCAGAGGTCTCTTTATGTCTTACTCCTCACACTCAGCTTTCTGAGGGTGACATTAGAAGCTTTGCTCAGGTGCTACATTAGTCATCAAACTGACAGAGTCGTCCGCAGCCAATAAAATGCAACAAAACTAGAATGATTATCCTCTGAAGAATTTATTCAGCTTGTTCTTGATTCATTTCCTGCCGAGTTGGACACATTTTTATTCCCTTCCATGGTAACTTCATAAAGGAGTTTGAAGATCAAATCATGACGGTGAGAGTCAAAATAACACTCAGTCTACTCTGTTATATCTGAGCACTCTGAAAGACATCATTATTACAGTCCTTCTTGTAAACCTATAGCCCTTTTTCTAAATGGTTCATTATTAATAGGTTTCCTTTTTTTGGCCAATTATTCTGGTAACACAGTGTGGCTGATCATCCTGCAACTTCGATTCTGGTAGTTATATTACATGTGTAAATTTGGAGCATCCCAGTATCCCAGTGACCAATCCCATAACAAGTATGTTTTCAGGGCCTTAAAAAACTTGTTGCATGTCACCGAACTGTGGGTGAGGAATTAGCTGTTTAGATTTCACATACGCAGTAGGCCTGTGGTAATGTAGTGGTGGCACCGATATCTCTGCAGCATCTTAAAAATAAAATAGAATTCCTTTTCAAAGATAAACTCAGGTCTGAGAGTGAATAAATATCTGTTGCTGCCACGCTCAGCTGCTTTGTATGACAGGGTATTAAGGAAAAATATGAAAAGAGGAAAACCCTTTTTTTATTTTGCATTTTGAGAATAAAGTCAAACTTTTCTGGAAATAGCGTTTAAACTTTATTCTCAACATTTTGACTTAATTGTTGACATTTTGAAATAATTTGCAACTTTCTAAAAACAAAGGAAAAAAAAAAAAAAAACAACAAACAAACTTCATCCCCTTTGTGGCCTGAATACTCCATCATAGATTTTGCTGAAGATACAGTCACAGTTCTTTATTTTTAACACTGCACAACAGTGGCGCCTCCTGCACTTCTGGTTCCTTATATGTGCAAGTTCACACATAGAACCTTAATGCTACACTGTGCTGTATGATATCACATTATATTGTGTTGTTGTAAATGTATTACTTTGAGAATAACATTTTCCTAACCTGGCGGGGTTAAAACACCCACTCACCATAACAAATTTCAGAAGTTATATTTCAGTGCGTGGATACGTTCAGCTTTTACTAGACATTATTATTTACCAGTATAGTACTTTCAGCTCTGTCTTGAGTAAAGCAAGCAGTCAGGGGAAAAGGAGCTATTATCATTTAAGAAAGACAGAAAACAATTAATAACTGGTTCAGGCCTCCCACTCCTGAGTTTGTCTGATTATGGAGACGTCAAATCACCTAACCCCCACCCTCTCAGAGCTGGTGTGTGGGTGTGCTAGACTGGCACCGGCTTAAACTCAGGCAGCCAGAGATCCTTGGCTGTAACAGCTTGGCAGAGAAGTAATCAAGGCCTTTCTTGCACTAGCCATTCAATAGAATTTAGCATTAAAGTGTGTGGGCGAGTGGAGGCAGATGAGACGGCTTTACCTGCTGCCAGAGCTGAGATATCAGGGGAAATTAGCAACCTGAATACAGGCTCTAGGCAACTGGAATGACGCCGTGACAACATATCCAGATGCAACGTGCAAGATGTCAGTATTATTAGCCTGGCACAGCTTCATTTATTCTTTGCAGCAAGAATGAAAGGACAGAACTTACTGATCAGCTTGATTCTAGAGCTTTAAAGACAAAGACTCAGGTTGGAAGAATACAAACCCAGCAGGGCTGTCAGACCTTTAGTAAGCAGTCGGCTGGTAGAACTTCAGTCGGCACCAAACAAGGTGAAGCTGCTTTTAGCTACTGTTCTGCACACAGTTCAGTTTTGTTTTTGCTTGTGGCTTCTTAATACATCTGGTTGCCACCACTTATCTTAGGGTCTTTGGAACTGGAGCAGTCAAAGGCATAAAGATGTAAAACTAGGCAGGATTTCATAAGGCAAAGCAAATCTGAGACAAAATCATATTTGACATCAGTATAAAACAATTTATTAATAATATAAAATGCAATTTTCATTTGGCAAAATAATGTTTTTCTTATTTTCTATCCTAGTAGTCCTATCATGACCCCTTATATTCCTCTCGCATCCTGTAATAGGGGCCTGAGACTGGGAACGACTGGTCTAAATAAAGCTAAACTGCTTTCCAATCATATGCCCACTTGTGTTTCTCGTCCTGTCAAACTTGAGCAAAGGCAAATGATCAATTACTTTGGTGAGTACAAACTAGACTCCTAACTGGACCTCAGGCACAGCTACTAAAATAAGGCTCAAGCTTAAAAGAATGAAAGTCTCCTTTAAGGAGCTGAATAGTTTCACTTACTACAGGCCTCCTCTGCCTCGTCAGAGCCGTCAGGACACTCTGGTTCTCCGTCACAACGCCAGCGACCTGGCACACACTGACCATTTAAACAGGCAAACTCTGCAGGGGCACAGGTTTTCCTGGCTGTCAGAGACAGAGAAACAGACAGAAAATAGCAATGAGAAAAGAATAGTACAGATAGTCTGCAGTGGGGCTTCCTCTCTGTAGGAACAAATCTCAGCAATCGGCCCTCTCATCAGAGGAGATCTCGTCTCAATTTATTCCTATGCAGTGCTCTCTTTCTCCTGATATCCCACACTGATTAGCTCCACTTTCCATGTTTTTTTGACACTTATTCCTTGCGCTGTCTGCCTCCTCTTCCTCCATCTGCCGGTCTCCAAAACCTGTCTAATCTCTGCTTCAGGTTTTCCATCACAGAGCACTGAAACAGATGCTGACTGCTGACCGCCACGAGCTCAGGGAGGTTAAACCCCTTACCTCCCATACCGGTTTACCATAGAAAGCTACAAGTCAGCAAGGCCACAGGCTGATAAACTTGTCAAGTGTGGAGAGGACTGGAAATCAAAAACATGTCAAGAAAAGTCCTGTTCAAGCAAGAAGAAGAAAATTTTGAACACAGCAGCTCAAGAGATTTTGGTAGCGACTGTGATAAGCTCAGGGCTGTTACGAGTGAGCTAAAGCATCACATAATAACACATGTATTCCACATACATAGAATCACACTCTCCACAAGCAACACGCTCAGACAGAGAGCCAGAAGCAGGCCGAGGTCAGAGGCATTCAATTTCTTTAGCTTGTTGCTGCAGAAGAATCTTCAGTACAGTCTAATCAATCACTGGGTAACAGGCCCTCAGCTGAGCTCTCCGATGTTCTTACACAGCCAAAACTGTTTCTAAGCTGGCCCCCCATCTTGGCTGTAATGCTTCAAATTAGAAATAACATTTAGAGCTGTGCAAGGAGGTTAAGCTTAGCTGAGGGGGTGTAAGGAAAGAGAGCAAGCAGTCTGCCTTGGTTGTGCTCAAACTGCTCTAACTCTGCTTGCACTGCCAACTCCAACTTTGACACTTTGACACTAGTTAAAACCATGCATTAGACACAAAAAAAGAGGTGAGGGGAGACGCGAGAACCTTTGGCCTACAGAATGTCCTTGTTATAATTGTGCTTAGGAATTTATGTCAGTGCAAATTCTCAGTCATCGAGGTTGTAGTATGCTGAAAAAAATGTAGAAGATGTTTAACCTCTCAGCCAACAGTGTCCTCTAACGACGATAAACGACATCCGGTATCAGTGAGTCGTTACCTGTCTTTGAACCCTCACATGTGGGCCGACGCCTTTTGTCCTGTGTGAATTAGGGCGGAAATGTTTGGGTAGAGATCTCAAAACAGAGTTGTAGATGGAAGTTGTGTCTTAGTCCACCACCTCTATTTAGAGAGGGGTGTTCTATTTGGACAAAAATTGCTTCTTTGACTCCTCTCTCAAACTAACAGTGTTCTCTGGAGAGGATCTGGACTTCACTGTCCTCAAAAGAATGTTCTTTGTCGTTCAGGTGGAGGTGGACTGGACCAGGCTGGAGCAGAGTCAGCCGTCCACTGGAACTGCAATGAGTCAGTCATTAGGGGACATTGTTGGCCGTCGAACATTTTTTCAGCTTAGGATTTTAGTTGATTGCCTTACAAAGCCCTTGAAAGTCTCATGTGGCCTCTGCAGGTCAGATGTGCCCACATTGTGCATTTTCTCTACACTTCTTACCTGACATTGCCGAGCTCGCTACTCATTTCAGTCAAGGTCTACAGGGTCCATGGTTCACTTGGCAATAATTACCCAGGCTAGTTCATGACATCTGCTTGGAATGGCTTTCTGTTTTAATTAGAAGTGGTTTTAAAATTTTAGGCTCATAAGGGGCGAGCATGAGAGGAAGAGGAAAGTGATAGGAGAATGAGAAGAAGGAAAGCAATATCAAAAGTGAGTAATAGCAGCAGAGATGGAGAATGACATATCCAGTAATAATGCTTTATGGAATCCTAATGGAAAGTGTGATAGTGAATGAAAACAGGCAATATAGCTTTACTGTGGGTGGCAGAAATAGCACTTCCTGAATATTAATCCCTATGACATATACTGCAAGCACGTATGCCCACTTACTCACTCAATCGCACACAGATATCCGGTGTCTTCTTGTATGGTCAACTATTATACACAGACACAGCTTCAGTACATCTGAGAAAAATCTAAGACAACACAAAAAAAAAATAGCAATTCAATGTTGTGTCAGTCCCCGATCATGCGTATGATGACAAATGGGAGGGGACACAGAAAGAATGAGGGCCCTGCACAGGGGAGCTCACCCCTGAAGAACGTACAGGGAAAGACCTCCACACTCCGACAACCCCACCTGGAGTCTTCACCTCTGGGGCCAACATTGTCAACATTAGCCTGCTTCTGCATGGAGGTTATTTTATTTCTTTATTTCTACAGTTAAAGAAAACATATTTGGGAGCAAAACATTAGTACCGTAACAAAAATAATTTTCTTTGAGCAAAAAAAGGTGTTGAATGTCAGATATAAACAAAACTTATAGGTGAGCAACCAAAACGAAAATGAAAATAGTTCTGATTCCAATCAGTTTATATCTGACATTCAACACTTTATTCTGATTACAGTACCAAAGTTTTGTTCAAATACATTGTATTGGACTGCAAAATAAAGACACTAAATTACCTCCATACCTCTACTCCTTTTCATGCTTCTTAAATGCCATTGATGTGGACATGCATGGTAGACCTGTATGCAGTATGAATTTGCAGTTGTTGAGGGTAATGAAAGGCAGAATCGGAAGTATGGTGGTGTTAGTATGGGTTTTTCAAACCAGTATGGCTCATTTCAAAGAGGGACTGTGGAGGCCCGGGATGGGAACAGACCTGTTAGATACAAGATGTCGTTTTCTGTAACAGAAAGAGTAAGGAACGATGCAAAACCAGGGTTAGCATTGGTTTGGCATGTCATAGGTGGAGAGCACTAAAAGCATCCAAAGGACTAAAATTTGATGCAGATGTGGCTTTCTATCTGCTAGATGCATAAGTACTGTAGCTGGCTAACGTGTTTATGTTGACATCATTAGCATGCTAACATTAGCTTTTCAGTTTTGGTTGGTAAACATTACACCTCCAAAATATCTCCTCAAAAGTCTTAAAATGCATCTATGTGAGTGTGGGGCTACTGGATAAACATCTTAATGCAGCCTGGCATGAACAAATTTCCATCATGTTCAAGAGCAGAGCAACACACACTCATCTGACAATCCACACATGTACATGCCTTGATTTTTTTTTTTTTTTTTTTTACTTAGGCCTTTCTCTTTCTTTCCATCTGGAGGCCATGAGAAGCTTAGCATGTAATGCAGTGATAAGCACATTCTCCTCAGCATCAGAAGACAAATGGCCTCATTAGTGAAGAGTGAAGTAGGGGTGTGTTGGCGAAGCAGAAAACATAATGTATCCTGTTGGTTAAACAGCATACAAATGAATAAACCTTCCAAAATTAATGGGATATGATGGTAGCATTCACAATACAGCATGGCATCAACAAAGCCGGGACAAGCTGCTCTTGACATTGCTTTTGTTAATTATTATAGAATTCAATTATGCTAATTTGAGAGAGTTTTGAGAGAAATGCCAAATGCACAGGCAGACATGTCCTACTTTGATTCTTTCATTTCATCCATTTTCATTTCCTAGAGTGAGTAAACAATATGTCTTGTTGAATCCTTTATCTGTCCTTTTATGTGACAATCGAGGAAGTCGCTACCGGTTGTCAGTCGGACTTAAACAGACAGCAGTGAGTCTCTAGAACCAACAGGGACACAAAAAGCCACATGGGACTGAGCTCTAACTCAGCACTGGCTCACAGAGTATTGATCTAAAAACAACAGAGCCACAAAATAGTGGCATCTACAAATTAATTCTCTCTCTCTCTCTCCCTCTCTCTATCTCTGTATCTTTTTGGGCAAATTGAGCAAGATAAAGATAAAGGTACAGGAAGGACATTAGAACAGGTAAATCCAGTTTGGACTGCAAACGTAATCAAATGTAACTGTTGGAGGCTAATCTGTGATTTGGGCTTCATAAATAAAATTGAGTTACCCAGAGTCTGCCCGTCACATGATGTGTATATTATTTTATGATACAGTATTTGCCTTAAAGGTTTTCAATAAAATTTGAAACTGAATCTGGAAACAAACAGGCAACCAGTGTAAAAAAAGGCTAGAACAGGAGAGATATGCTCTCTTTTCCGAGTATATGTGAGGAAACAGGCCTCACCATTTTGAACAAGTTGAAGATGGTTTAGGGAAGAAAACCAGACACCAGTGTAGAGGGCACTGCGGTAACTGAAACGATTTGAAACAAAAGCTTGAATAAACTTCTCAAGGTGTTGTTTTAGAAGACAAAATGATAGAGGTGGAAAATGGGCTGCTGTACTTGGTTATGTCCACTGCTCAGCTTTTCTGTGTACTGATAGGAGACACCTGCTTAAGACACATTTTCTGTCTCCCTGTCAGGTCACACTGGCACAAACCCCTCCTGACAAAGGAGGAGACCTGGCAGCCTCAGCTAGCAAGGCTCCCTGGTCTCTTTGAGGCATCCTGAGAGTGATTTATACTAAAGATGGTTTGGTTAAACCTGGCTAAGCTGCAAGAAACTTACCTCAATGCTTGAATTATGTTTTTGAAGGCCACAATATGCTAACCACTGGACATAGGAATAAAGCTTATCTCTCACACTAAGGTGGCATATTTGAAACATATTAAAGCTCCAAACACTGCTTGAGGTTGTATGACGGAGATATTCACTCAGTAATTGACTACCATGAACCTGCGAACAGAGTTCCCTGCAGACCTCCCTCTTTCATGTTATTAATTCAGGATAAGAACGCCATACCTCCCAAATAATAGCAATAAAATATAAACCTTAAAATCATCAATAATCGGCTTCCAATCTAAATGAATCGACAACTACTAATTCTAATCATAAATTTAGAATGATCATACTGATTAAAATCATTATGGTTGAGCTAAGCTCTTGATCTGAATAAAAGTCAAAGGTCTCACGTCACGTCCTCAGCTGGCT